GGGGGTTGTTTTTTGTGTGTGTTTTTAGTAAGAGTTTTACGGCACTTGCAACACGATAATGTCATATAAGTGCCGAAGATAGAGGTGTTACAAGAGAGTAACAAACACAAAAAAGAAGGAGGGGAGATAAAGACGGTAGATGTTTGATAGGAAAGAAGGAGCAAACCACGTCAGAGCACCCACCAACCATCCGCACGCGTAAATATCAATGCAAACATAACATTTTCATATTTTATATGTACATTTTAATGATAGACGCCCTGCAGACGCCTTGCAGGTGGGTGGTTGGTGGGTGCTCTGGTGTGGTTTCCTTCTTTTCGATCAAACATCTATCGACCTAATCTTTCTCCTCTTTCTGTTCTTTGTTTGTTTCTCTCTAGGAACACCTCTAATCTTCGGCATTATATGACCTATTTGCCTCGCAAATGCTGTAAAATTATCACTAAAATGAGAAAAAAAAAACCCACCTTGCAGACGTATTGATTCATTAAGTAATAGTGCAATGCTTCGGATCGGTGTTTGCGTGCTCTCACATTTGCACGGACACACGCGAAGTAAAGTACACGCAAATATGTACTGATCTTATGAGATTCTATGTGATTGTTGTTGACCCCCTTAATGCAATATCAATACGTGTACTACTGTACGCTTTTAGAGTTATGAACCTTTCCTCACGCCAAACCGCCTTATTTGGACTGTCTATGTAAAGATGGTAGACTGGTTCATCTTCCTTGAGGTTAGCAGCTCTTCTATCTTCCTCAGTGTTTTTGCAGATGCTGTTACTGTAAATAATATTGTTGTTTTTCTTTGTCATATCTTCCTCTTTTTCTTTCCTCCTTTTCTTCTTCTTTGCTGTCCTCACCCTCATTATATTAGTCGTCGTTGTCATGCATGTTTTCTCCTCCTCTTCCTCCTCATACTCCTCGTACTCCTTCAACTTGTCTTCCTCCTGCTATTCTTCCTCCTTCTCCTCCAATGCTTGCTCTTTTTCTTCCTCTTCCTTGTCCTCCATACGTCTGTATGAGGTCTGTGAAGTAAGTAACTTCTGCTGTTTCGTTTTTGTGATGTTTATTTCTTTGCTTCTTTCAAAACACTTGCGTAGTTTTTTGTAAGGTAGCATCTCAAAAGCAAAAGTGTTTCGCATGTATCCGTCAATAGGTAGTTGACCGGCCCTTTTTTTCAGAGATATTTGCATCTTCTGCTTGTTTCGTTGTTGTTTTTTTTTTCATGTTCTTATCCCATGAATATTTTTTGTGTTTGTGGTTGGTTGGCAGTTGCTCTGGTGGGGGTTTTTTCTTCCTTCCTATCAAACATCTATCGTCCTTCTTTTTTACGTTTGTTACTGTCTTGTAACACCTCTAATCTTCTGGCGCTCATATGACCTATTAATTATGCAGTTGCGAGCACCGTAAATTCTCCACTAAAACTGACTAACTTTTTGTGCTTCAAGGCCTTTCTGTCAAGGTCTTTTTTGGAATTACCCGGAACGTAAATAAAGAACAACCCATAAACAGTTCACAAATCAATCTCTAATAAAAGTTTTCCTCGCCTCTTCCCCAGGATGAGAAAGCCAGCTACGATGTGAACGGCCACGATCCGGACCCCAAGCCACGCTATGATTACACCAACGAGAACAGGTAAAGCACTTGACTATAATACACTCTGGACTCACTTACTGCCGTCTGAGTGGAAAAAACCTAGTATCTCACAATTGAGCATGTTTTGTCATAAAAATAGAGGAAACGACTTTTTCAGTTGCATCGTCTTTTTCGGATTGCTCAGTCTCACAAATGTGTACATTCATTAAATTTTAGAAATAGATCGTACCATATGAAGATTTTGTATTAAAAAAGAAAAGAAAGGTTTTCTTTGAGCGTTCGAAAAAAAGGGACGATTTGACGTAGATTAGCCTGTGCTAGGTGTTTTCATTCTAACGGCAGCTTACACACTTTTCCGTCACGCCAGTGTTCAGAACACCCTCTGGTTGAATTACTCTTTTCCGTTCACTGAACGTTTGCGATCTCTTCATTTTCTTCCCTGGTTTAGGTTTTGTATCTTGGGTGGGTTTGTTGTTACTTTGTTTTTGTCATTTAAAAAAAAGAAAAGAATTGTTGTCGTTTTTTAAAATTTTGTTATAAGTATTGTTCTCTTGTTTGGTGTTGAATTTTGTATGTGTGTTTGGAGGGAGGGGGGGTGATTTGCCTTTGTCGTTGAGGCTGATGATAGCCACAAATCTGTATGAGTAGGAAACAACCTTTTTATGCTCTTAGTTGAACATATGAGAACTGGCGTCTGTTATGAAGCTGTTATACCGGGTGCCCATCGGCAGGATCGGGTCGGGTTGGGTCGGGTCAGTTTGCTAGTCAGATTTAGCGCGCAAAGAGTCGCCCGACTCGTTACCTCAAAAACAAATGCGTTTGTTTTTAGACAACGAATCAGGCGATTGACCCGATCCGATCCCATCTGCAATGGGCACCAGATATTAGGCGCGTCGTCGTCGGACGCAGAAAGACGTGAGTTCGATTCCCGAGTGGAGAGATTTTTACATTTTTATTTTCAGACATCATGTATCCTTATCTTTCGGTTGGGCGTTGTAGCCATCTCAGCTCCGGTTGGCCCTTAAAGGCAGAAGTCGAAGCCTGTCTTCTAAATAATCTAAATTGTGTCGATGGGGGCTTACAGACGTCTTACTTTTTAAAAAATTAATTGTCTCTGCTTTGTGC